TATATTAATCCCCTCTTCCAAAGTATTATAAATAACTGGAGCACATAAAGACAATACTACATAGTCACCAAGGTAATAATAGCCTTTGAAATGGTACAGAATTAATAGAAGAAGTAGGATGCACACTATAAAAAAAACGAAAAGGAAGTTTTGTCAGGATATGTGCCAGGGGAAAGGAATAAAGATGTCAGGAAGTATCCATACGTTACTGGATAACATGAGAGAGAACACAGAGAATATTATTGCATTAAATAAGATTTCAAACATTGAGCTAGAAGTCTGGGCCTGAGCACAGATACTGGCTTAATTCCACACACAGATACCATGAAATACTATACTTATACAGGTTTCTCTTTTCTGTGATGAACAGTTTTGGATCATTTGTGCAAGAATTGAGAATTTCAGGGGTAAAAATGGTCCAGGAGATAGGTTCGCTTGACATCATCTCGTTTTGCTAATGGTTTAGCTTTTCCTTTAGAGACAACTCTGGAATTACACCTGTCCATGAGGAGCTCACTGCTTAAGTTACATCCAGTGGATCAGACAGTGGTTATAAGCAGCTATTTGTGAACCAAAACTTAACACTCTAAATGTTTTAGGATGAACTGAAGTGCTATTAGTACATTCCATCATCCAAGTCTACCAACAAAGCCCACAAAAGGTACTGCTTTCTTCATTTAACTATAAAAGCCATCTTACAGAATGCGATGCCAGTTCTATATAAACATACTGAAAAGGAAGATTAATATGGCCATCTAGAGGAGAAAAGAACGATGTGAAAACATACCACACACATTATCAGGCTTCAGAATAAAACATTTTGAGAGGCATGCAGCCAGAAAATAGATGTAATAAACTAATTATGTAATTGATGACAATTGAACCTTAAAATAATACAATCAGACATTTTTATGGTCTTAGCAATGCAAACACATTAAACTACATGTTTTTAGCCATGCAAGTAAAGCTTACAGGGTGTATTAATACAAACAAGATGGTATTTTTGTCTCCTGAAATTGTGTGCGTGCACTGTTAAGCGCAGACACTGAACAAACAGATTTAAAGGGTGAAGGCTGAAGCACAACCAGTTATTAGTACAACTGCTCACTGGCTCCTTTGGAAACACAGCACATTGTTGCAAGATGCAGCGTGTGATAGAGATTAAGTCTGGAGACAAAATAACATGGCTCTTTCTGGAAATGAAGTCCTATTACTCTACCTTTGGTGCAAGTCTTAATGGTACCATCAGAGGGTGACTGACTAGCGATGAGCTAGAGATGGGCAAAAGTGAATCCTGTCCTCTCACCACTTCACTGTAGCACTGTCAAGCCCTGCCCATCACAGGGACTGATCAGTGCCTTAAGTGGGAAGTACATCCGCAACGTTTAAGTCTTGGAAGTAGAAATGCTAGAGCATATGAGGAAATCGAAGCACACAAAGTCACATGTATTGTCAGTTGTTTCTGAGATGAAGTAAGTACAGATGAACACAGTTTGCTCCCCCTCCCCTACAGAGCATTAAGAAATGGTTCTATCATTTGCCTTTACACTTCCTATAAAAATAATTCAACAGTCATAAAGGCAAGTATGTCATGACAGGTTTCAGGATTCCTATGGCATCAAGTCTTCTACAGGTATTATCTGCAACTTCAAGGAACAGTAAAGCTTTGAGTTTTAAAATTACACCTAGAAAACACCTACAGTGTTGATGCTCTGCCTTTGGAATCAGAGGTTTTCACCCTCAGTTGTTCAGTGAACTCTTTCTCTGAACATAGCTGAACTGTTTGGTAGTGACAGCCAGTTTCTCGCTTAGTTCTGACTGCAGGTTTCCTTCAGATGGTTTCCACCTTCCCTTTTCATCACAGTTATAACATGACAAGGCATACTCCGCCTTTTCCTGTGTTCTAACACATTTTTATCACTGGGTAAAGATTCTTTCCTGTTTGAAATCATTTAGGAACATAAAGAATACTACCACTAATTATTCTAGTGTGCCACCTTCAGGTCACTGAGGAGTGATGAACACTAGGCTGTTCATCTGTTTCCACAGCCAATACAACCAAGCTCTCCCTAATCGTATTGGACATAATGTTGTTGAGATTAATGGATTACAAACATGAGACTAAATCACTGCTCTGAGTTGCAAGCATTCTGCACAACGCTGCAGAATGATTGCAAGCTATCAAATAGCATTGCTGATTCTCCACTCCTTGTAAAACATGGGAAGAGAAAGCTCTCACAAGCAGCAGGAAAAGCAAAATACTGACATTTGTAAAGCTTTTTGCAAGCAGAAGCATGTGGTTAAAAATTTACAAGTTTCTAAGTTAGAATGTTTTGATGGGTTTTGCTTTGCAAGGTTTCTTTCTTCCAAACCCTGAATATTCTCTCATTATACTAAATTTAATTTGCATACTAATTTTAGAGTGAATATGTGTGTGCATATACAAAAATGGGTTTAACATCCAGCCAGCTTCCTGAATGGAAAGAGTGCTCAGAAGGGATAGCAGCTGGCAGCAGATATCTTTAGCGATACAAGACAAAATGAAAGAGGAGGAGAAGGAAAACAGTCGTAACTTTCCTGATGCAATACTTGGACTTGACATCAGGGTCTTTTTGTCTTAGATTTTAACTATGACACAGAATAATAGAATGGTTTGGGTTGGAAAGGACCTTAAGATCATCTGGTTCTAGACCTTAAGATCATCAATTACAATGAGGTGTAACTGACTTAACACCTTCCACTAGAGCAGGCTGCCCAATGCCCCATCCAACCTGGCCTTGAGCACTGCCAGGGATGGGGCAGCCACAGCTTCTCTGGGCACCCTGTGCCAGCGCCTCAGCACCCTCACAGGGAAGAGCTTCTGCCTTAGATCTAACCTGAACTTGCCCTGTTTCACTTTGAACCCATCACCCCTTGTCCTATGGCTGCAGTCCCTGATGAAGAGTCCCTCTCCAGCATCCTTGTAGCCCCCTTCAGGCACTGGAAGCTGCTCTGAGGTCTCCACGCAGCTTCTCTTCTCCAGGCTGAACAGCCCCAGTGTTCTCAGCCTGTCTTCATATAGGAGGTGCTCCAGCCTCTGAGCATCCTCCTGGCCTCACTCCAACAGCTCCATGTCCTTCTAAGTTGATACCAGAACCGCACACAGTGCTGCAAGTAGGGTCTTTTAGATTTGCAGACTGGTGTTCTGATAGGATCGTAGGATCAAGCAGGTTGGAAAAGACCTTAAAGATCATGAAGTCCAACCTTTATCCTAGGACTGCCAAATCCACCACTAAAACATGCCACTAATTCCCCAGAAGAGGATAAAAGTCATCACCTATGAATTTGGATGATCTGAGAGGATGCTAAGGAAGAAAATGATGAAAACAAACCAAAAACCTGGATACAGGCTACTACAATAGCTTTGGAGCTTGTATCTTGTAGTAAAAAGCTCATATAAACTGGGATCTTTTCTCTGAAATGATGAACTAGGTATGGGAAATAATTCATCTGAGCAATTGTGGAACAGAAAGTGGAATATTACATGTTCCTTCCACCATGGATTATTCTGTGACTATTTCAACAACCAACCTCAACAGCCTGGAAAGAGACAACTACACAATTCTAGGTATCAAAGTACTCTTCTGGTATCATTTCAATCTGGTTATTATTTGCTAATAAATACAACTGAGTCTTCATCTCCTGTTAATACACATCACCATTCTTTCTGAGCCGTGACAGAAGCCACAGAAAAATTAGTATCTTTCATATTACCCCAGCAACGCTGTTGATAGATCTCAGTAGATATAAAACCCAAACATGATACTTCTGCTATCCCTCTTCCTTGCTGTCCTGGTCCATCACAGTGTCCAAGGATCAGACCTTACCACCTGCTCACACCTTTGCACCTCCTTCCCTGTTTGCTGGAACTCAGACTCCCAAGCCTTCCTACAAGATCACAGCAAGTGAAAGAACCAGCAGTTCTGATGATCAGGAAATAATCCTCTTACTCTGCAACTTACTTCAATCGTGGCTTTCATATCCTTTGAGTCTTAACTTGGAAGCATGAATGAGCATGCACTGATTTCAAATGTCAGTGGCAAACAGACTTTTATATGATTCCATTACATCACATAGTAGAAAGTTTGACATTTGCAAGCACTTCTGGGCTGTATAGAACATATAAGGACAGATATCTTTTGATAATATGTATCATCCTACATGAAAATATCAATTAGTAAAAAACTTTTGCATTTTAACACAGCAAAAGGAGACCAACAAATATCTTCTATAACACAGCATCTGTATCAGAATCTGACTTTCATGTAACAAAAGCTCACTTTTCATCCTAGAAGATGGCCATAGACACGGTTCTCACATATTTTCAAGCACAGAAAGCATATTGACACAATAATGACAGCAGAATTCTTCGCCTCTGTATCAGACTGTCACCCTAACATAAAATCAAGAAATATATGCCACAAAGGAAACAGCCAGAGTTATTAATGCCATGGAAAAAAAAGATATTAATCTAACATTTGTAGTAATTTCTTCCTGTGATTTCAAAAGAAGAAAAGATACAGAACATTTCAGTAATGCAAACTGCAAGGACCATATGCACCGTAACCAACAACCAATTCCAGTTACTCTGCTGAGATGATAGCTTATCAAGAGATGAGTAACACGTTGCCTTTGTATTTATAATACCACAGAATTCATCAAGAGTTGCTGTATTTCCTTCCTAAATCAAACCTGCTTTAAATTCCCCCCAAAATAGAATTACTGATGATAAAACTGCACAAAACTTCATATAACAAGGTCCTGCATCACTTGCATGAATGTGCACAAGTCTCTGCCATTCTTTTCTTTGTTTTGAGCATGCACAAATATAAAAGGTATCTGGATATTTCTTACAGACATTGACCATTTACAAGTCAAGCTGTATATGTCTCTAGGACTTACTTATCCAGAACATCATTCTGAAGTTTGGAATAAAAGGAATGCTTTTAAATCACTCTTACCTTCATCTATTGAGGCTTCACTACTGTATCCATCATATTCTGCGGACAGGGGACTATACTTTTGTCTGGTTTCCCATACATAGTTTTTTTGCTGTCTGCCATCCACCACTGGCAGCCTGGAACTCTGGGTTCTAGACAAGGCCTCATGATATTTACCCAGTGCTTCATCTTCACTCTCAGATGATGAACCATGCTGGTCTTTACTCATATAAGAGTTGTCTGTTTGAATAAAATAAAGCAAATCGACTACAGCTCAAAACAGAATACAAGAAAATAACCATAAAAGGTTAGAATTTAGATATTTCAGCTATTTCAATTGAAATTTCTCTAATATTTTTAAAAGATCATCTTGTTGTCATTAAAAGCATTATGTGATTCTGTAATTGGTGAGAGCTATTTTTATTTTCTAGAAAAACTGAAAATTCATTAAGCCCCCCAAAACCATTCTAAAACTTATTCAAGAGAAAATGATCAATTTATGTAAGGCAGCACACTCAAGTTCTTGAAGACCTTCATTAAGTAAGAAAAAGCTTAAAATACTTTACATAAAGGAAATCCAACAGTATCCAACATCACATCTGGATATCTAGCGTAACAAAAAGGCAGCTCCTGATCTCCATTCTCAGCTGATTTTTGCTGCCAGCATGCAACACAGAAATGAAACCGATTGACAACGAGAAGCCTACAACAAAGTCATCTTAGGATATTTGTGTCAGTAGTGCTTAAACTCACAGTAACAAATGGGAAAATGCTCATGAAAGATGTTTTCATGCACGATGTTATTTAACTTACAATAAACAGCCACTTGTTCCATAACTGACATTAATGAAGATTCTCATTGCAGACATCTGGCAACAGCAAAAATTACACAGAAGGATCTATGTAGTTAATTCTTTGATACCCGCTCCATAATGCCTGCTCCTGCTGCCAACTTTCTCCAGCTACATCTCCAGTATGACTTCCTCCCACAAGTCACAGACTCAGCTGCAGTTTTACTTCTGTAAAAGGAAAGTTTCCTCCTCCCTTTTCCACACCTCAAATAGATCCTGTTCAAATTTAACATGCCATGCAGAGGTTCTGTGCATCTCAAACACTAACAGGAATGAAAACAAGTTCATGAAACTCACTAAAGGTCAGCATTACCTCTACCCTGAAAGCCAGCCTCTGCAACTATACGATTTGCCAATGGATTGCCATTACCAGCAGAGCTCTGAGAGGCCAATAATGCTGGGTTTCAGCTCCTGATTCTGCAAGGGAATACCGTCTAATGCATTACCCAGCTGTGCTCAACCCCTTCTCCACTCCCTGCTTTTATGCCACCTGCCCAGTCCCTGTCCTTAGCTCCAGTTCTGCATCTCCCCTCCCGTTAGTCTCCTCCTTCATGTCCAGTCGGTCTCACTCCTCTTCTTGGCTATTTCAAGTAAAGGAGGAATTCAGCTTGTCCATAATTCAGCCATTTAAAATTTAAGTAACTCAACCTTGGGCAGCCATCTAGTCAAGGGTTTGCCTCTTCCTGCTACAGAGGTCCTTCCCCCTTTTAGGGAAGCCTCTAGAGCAGACGAGTAAAACCACTTCCCATTGAGGTCTATTTCTCCCCTGCACTCACAAAGAAGAGCCTATGCTGCACACTTAGGTTAAGACATGTTCTGCAAAATTACATTTATCTGAGTAGAATCTTATCCTAAATTCATGTCTCCTTGCCCCATACTCCAGGTTCCTGCTCCAAGCATCCACTTTAGGTCTCTTATGGGGATTTCCTCTTTATTTTCCTTGTCTATTCAGTCACAGATTCGATTTACTTGCACCTAACCAAGTACTCGTGTAACCTTAGTCCTTCACCCTTAGTCCCTCCACCTTCAGATAATGTCATAAATTCTCTTCCTAGCTGTCACTCAGCCTACTTCAAATCCCAGCCTACCACTTGCATCACATCACATTCGTTCAGGAAGTTCCTGTCCTCACGTAAGTCATGTTCGTTCTCAACCCTCCTAAAGGAAACTGGAAGTGTGAACAGGAACTAAGTATCATAAAGCAGGATAAGACTTTGCTCTGTTCTCCCACTCCTACAATGAAGCATATGAGTGCCAATGGAACAGTCAGTGAACATAATCAGCAAATTACAACAAGTGTTTACTCTGCCTTGTCAAACAGCAACGTTTCCAAAGATTTACAACTTGGTCGAACTCAGACGTTTTGTTCCATAGGAGAACACGGGCATCTCTGACATGGGAGAAGCGCTCTCCCGCATGTCAAGTACATATTCCAATATACAAAGGTGACGCAGCATCTTAATGAAGGAGACGAGAAATCTACTTATTTTTTACACTGATAACCAGCACGTTTATTCCATATTCTATTCCTGGAAACAGATTTACAAACAAAAAACCCCCCCACCAAAAGGATCTCAGACAGAAAGCGTGCCAAATTTCATCCCGAGTGTTTCAAGTTTGGCAAATAGTTCCAGGGAACTGAAAATACACTCTTGAAATGGAAAGCGTCAGGAAACCCCAACTGCAGATGGTGCTACCAGTTCCACATGCAATGTGTTTGTAATCCTAATTTAGTCTTTATAGGGAAACTGGTGACTTAAAAGAGCAGCTACGTCTTTCAACTTGAATTCAAGCGTAACCGATATGGTTCTTCCCATTGCATGGATGGCTATAAAGCAAGTTCAGTTTCACTGATCGCTTACTGAAAATATCACACCAAGCAGGATATATCCTCTCGCTATCAGATTCATTGAAAGAAACTGCCCAGAAAAAGAAGCCTTCTTTGCTGGTACAAGAGTAAAATCCTCTATCTGACATGGCCCTCGACAGGTTGAAACCTGCCACCTAGGAAACTTCTACAGATTTCCACATGTATAATTAAAGCAGGGCATAGCAGGAATAAAATCTAGTGCCATCAGTATTAGATGCATTATTTATCATGACAAAAAGATGTATTCACGAATAGGAAATCAGGTTCATGAATCAGTCTGCATAAAGAATGGAATGGGGCAGAACAGGGTAGCAACGTGTCTGAAAGAAGTGCTGCAAGTCCTGTCTCTAATAATACACTGACATTTGTGAGCATTCAGAAGTTCTCCGTGACACCAGGTATTTTTTTTCTCCAGTTCCTAGCATAAAACAAGAAGGATGCATGCTGTCACTCCGAGCCCTAAGACACACCTTAACTTCACCCCTATTAAAGCTAAAACACAAGCTATCCATGCAAGCATGTTTTAAATGAACAATATAAATCTGTCTCTTAGGCAAAAAAAGCTCCCTGCAGACTAAAAACACCCTCAGGGTTTTACACCTCTCCACTTGCCTTTTGAGTTTGTCATCTTAGCTGGAAACTTGCCTAAGAGAACTCGTGGTGTTATTAAAACCTTCCCTTTACTTGGCTAACACAGGTCGTATGTAATTATTAACCTATTGAAAGCTATTCGTTTGCTTATTATGGGATGCCAAATGCCATTTTTCATAAGAGAATATAGAATCACAGAATATCTTGGATTGGAAGGGACCTTCAAGGTCATTTAGTCCAACCCCCAGTTCCTGAAAAACACAAGGAAAAAATATACTTCACAATTATTGTATTACATGAAGAAATAACAGATCAGATCCCAGTTTATCACACAAACATGGAAACCACCTCTTAAATCAAATTAAAAAGCCCTTTGTAGTACAAAATCAGTCATTTCTCGACAGAAATAGCATCTCTGGAAAAGCCTGTGCTGCCTTCTAAATCTTCACTACACAGCCTGCACAACGACTGTGTAAACATGCAAGGTTGTACTTGTTACTTACAAACTACTACTGCAACTCCACTGTCATACTGTTTAAGATTGGATGCTGAAGCCAGCGCACACAGCATCCATATCAACAACACACAGGTTGTCTTTGTAAGACTGAACCTTTAAGATGAGCCTCATTCTGTTCTTTCTATACTTAAAATCACTTAATTGCTTCTTCTCATTGAGTTTTGTGTCTTAGAATCATTATCTTGCATATCCCCAAAATACATTCTGCACATCTACCACAACATCAATGCGACAGAAGTTTTCTTTTGCAATGCTTTTAAAATACACAAAATGAAAACCACTTTCACACAACAAGTGTTCATTTCCAGTATTAATCCATAGTTTTCAAAAGAAACTGCACCAGGCACTGCAGAGAAAGTGAGAAAAACTGGATATAGGAGAGTTAGAACGTAGGAAAGGCATTTATTAACCAGCTCCTTTAAATCGTACTTTAAAAAGTAGTGAACTTCCAAGAAACAGCAATATAATTAGAGAAAGAAATCCTGACAAAACAGCCTATATTTATCCACAGGAAACACTATTATTAGATGTGTGAATCAGGGGAAGAAAGCAGTATCAGAAGTTTCAGGAAAGGCTGAAGGATGCAGTTTGCTGACAGGCTCCTCACCTTTTCCTGCTGTCTTCTTATCACACAGCTCTCTGCCTGATTTCTTTGAGCTTTTCTTTTGGCCCGCTTTTGCAATTGGGGTTGCCACACCATCTTCACCCTTCGATAGAGATTTTCCCTTTCTGCCCAAAAAGGCTTCAGGTTTCTTTCCTTTGACTTCACTAATGCCATTGGGGTGCTCATCGTGCATCTTCATCAAGCTGGAGTCTGCTAATTGTTGCTTCTGTACTTCAAGTTTTGTTTCTGAATCCTGGGGAACATTCACAGTGTGCACTTTGTCAGAAGCCTCAGCATCCACTCCAGGTGACCGTGCTTTGATTCTTCTAGTCAAGTGATTCTGACAGTTACCTGGTACTGCACGTAGGGAATCACCTTGTTCCTCAATGGACTGCTCCATAGTAAACTTACTACTTTTCAGGTTGTTATCCTTTAAGTACTTCTCATTTACAAAACACTCCTTTCCTCCTACCCCTTCCCTTTTAAAAGGTCCTCCTACAGTCTTCGAATCCTGAGTGACTTCTCCATCACTTAAATGATTATTGCTATCTGTGCCTTTTAACTTGCACTGGTTTTTGTCCATGCCACAGTCAGATACTCCACCCTGACCTGTATCTTTCTGTACAAAACCTGATGTATTAGAACCAGGAGTCTCTTTGTGTTCTGCAGTAGCTCTGTTCACTTTCACCTGACTTTCCTGAGAATGAGGTAACGATGGTGTAGGTTCCTCTCCGCCTTCCACAGGTTTATCCTTCTGTGTTTTGGAGCTCTCACCTTCTGCACGAAGGCCATTTATCATGTTTGTCACTTGCTCTGTTACCGAATCAGCCACACTGTAGCCGACCTCTCCCACAGCGCTGGTCAGATCATCCACAGCACTGCTAAGCGTGTCCACCAGAGAAGACACAGAGGGGAGGCTCAGATTTTGGTGGAGGTGCCTGAAAAACGCCATTTGTCCAACCTATTCAGCAGCAGCTTCTAATCCCAAAAGGTTCTCTGCTTCACAAACAGCTCAATTCTGTTTCTCCATCCAAGTTCAGAGCTCCGTGCTGCTCCCATCTCAAACTCCACACATCTATCAGAGGAAGCTGCAGCTTTGCTTTTTCCATTCAATATGCATTGAAAACAACAAGAAAGCAACTAAGCGTCTTGAAGTGAACCAGCAAAACCATAGTTGGTCATCGACTGCAGCACCAACTAGCCATTACAGAATTCACTACGTTCATAAATAAGACAACTGTGTGAGGTGGAAATATGGGGGTTTAATTCTAACCTGCAAGGAAGAAGTTGTGAGACATTTATATTACGTCCTTTCATCAATGTCACACTAAAATAAGCTTTTAACATGATAGCTGCCCTAAAACACACATTATGGAAACTTCTTCACCCCCAAATACCTGTTGTCTTTGGGAAGGATACATAAGGTAAGATATTCCGGAACATGAAGACTTCATTTTTTGGGGGGGGAGAACTTTGCCTCCAAAAAACCTGAAAATACATAACTGCACCTTTTAAGGAGGTAAAGGGGAAGAAAACCTCTCCAGTTCTCCAGGTGAGTAAATGCAAGACCTTCTCCAATAGGTTGGTGAAGGCTCTGAACAGACCGAGTGAAAAACAAATAATCCCATTCACAAATGTACTTGAGAAGACTGAACTGTACATCATTATGGAATGCTTAAAATCCATTCAAGAGCCTTCTCCTGCTGTAAGAGAAGTAGCTTCCCATAAGTAAATGCCAACTCTCTGGTTATACAGCCGTCGAATTTCTGTAGTTCCTGCCTTTCCCACATACTGCAGAGTCACAGGAAAAGTCAACATTCCGTGTTTTCATCACTTGAGTCAAGTGATTGTGTATTTCTACATACCCTGGTAATAATGCGTTCTCAGAATTAAGGTTAGTACACTGCATTTCAGATACTTACAAAGTTTCTCTTGTGAATTCTTCCTTGTAGTGTATCCTGAATCAAGATCTGGGAAACCACTAACGTTTTCAAAACACATCTTCTTATTGATATATAGGAAAAGTAGCAACATGAGAACAATGAACACCCCGACAGCAGACAGGAATCCAACTGCTTCAGGAGATACTAAAAGAAACAGAAAGAAACACATTTTCACAAGTCTTGTAAAAGCTTAATTCAGAAAATTTGTATTATCAGAATTGATCATTAATAAATACTACTGAGGCTCCAAATATATGTGCAAGATACAACTAAAAACCCCACACCCCTTAAATTTGAGTTACTATTTAATCCTCCTTCCAAAGAACAGAAATGTATCTGGTCCTAACCTAAGGGAGGACCCGTAACAAGGCAAGGTCTCTGCAGATGATGGATAGATTATCACCAGATGCCAAGGCTGGGCTTTGATGGAGTACACTGGAAAGAAGCCAAGAGCATCCATGCATCCTTCCTGGAAGGGGCTGGAGGTTTGGCTACCTCTGGCAACCCACTGAAAGGCCTGAGGTGAGGTGTTGGAAGGCGACAGAGTTGCACATTTGTGTGAGAGGTTAAAGTGAAGTGCTATAGATCTATACTTGAACAACATTTGGGTGCAATTTGTAAGAAAAAGGGAGAGAACCCAATATATGGTTGCAGTTAACAACTGCGTAAGGCATTACAGAACTGTGATTCATAGTGGTATGTATTAGGTAATCAATCTGTTACTTGGTTTATTAACAGTGTGCTGATCAATTAATAAACAGTATAGCCTCCTATATCAGACATGTCTCAAACCTGCATTCTAAAGAGGGAGAGGAAGACCTTGAAGCAATGGACACCTTAATATTAAGTGGTTTTTGGGGGCCTCAACACGCAGACATGCATCTTCCAGAACTGAAAGTGGCTGTATTCACCTGGATGAAAGCCAGGATTCACACATCACTCCTTCCTGCCCTTCTTGCTAGTCTCTACTCGCTATCATAAATCCCATTGTGGGGGTTGAGTTTTTTCTATCTGTAAAAGATTTATGAACATTTATCAGATTTATGAATTCCATTTGCCAAGATCTTGGCACTTCACTTTAGGAGCACAATGCTGCGCGACAACATCTTTCACCATGTCAGAAGGAGTGGGATTAAAGAACATTTGGCAACAGCTTCTGCATTCTCAGAGGTGCAACACAGATACAAAAGGACAAGAGGCACCAGTCCAAAGTAGCAACAAGGAAAATTCCAGTTGGAGATTGAGTGGGGAAGGAGGAAGGAGTTGCCTATAATGTCATTCAAATCACTTGTTACAGTTGAACCTTATGGCAATTGCCTTACCCTTTTTGTTTGGTGCTAAGTTTCAACACTAAAGAAAGAGTTAAGCCATGACCAAGCATGAGCTGAAGGAAGAAACCTCACAGCTCCAGCGGTATTCTTTAGTTCTTCAAAAGCACTAGTGCTCCCAGATGAAGTGGGGAACACCTGGCCTGTTTCAGGTGTTCATTCAGCAGTGGTCTGTTGTCCATTTACTATTTTCATGGAGTCTTCCTAAATACAGGCAAGCTCCGAGATGGGCCAAAAGCCTCTGTTTGTGTATACTCATTTGTGACCCCAAGGTTTAACAGATGAACTAGATGGAAAAGATGAACTAGGCTGGAACTAGATGATATTAAGGTCCTTTCCAACCCTAACGATTCTATGATTCCACAATTCCAAAGTCTCCCAAGGTTCCGCTGCCAGTAGGCAGGTTCCTTCCCCTCCCAAGGCTGCATATGGACAACAGGGAATGTCTGGAGCTAGTGGAACAACATCCCGTGTTCTCTGAGTTATTGATTCTAACCCAAATGAGCCTACAGACTGGGCTAAGAGCAGAGTAAACTTCATTCTTCTGCAATGCCTATCAAAGACAGAGGCAGCAGCAGAAAAGGCAGGAGGAAGGAACTGTGAAGACACATAAGGAAGACCAGGCAGATAAAGCTGTAGGTTTAAGGGGGTTTTCTGCTTACACTGCTCAGCAATCAAGGCTGCTTTGACCCATCCCAATGTGGGCTCCAGGAGGTTAACCACAACTTGAAAACACAATCTTTTGGGGGTTTTTCTTGAGTGCTTCCTGGGTCCTAATTAGTTAAAAAAGACCCTGTGCACAAACCTCATAATTCCCTATGGAAACATAGTATCTGATGACATCTTCCTGGAGTGTAAAGAAAAAGCCTTGGCTGGTACCTTACAAAAAGCATGAAACTCTAGCTGCAGCGAGACTACTTAATTATTGATGCAATTCAGTGTGAACACAGGACTTGAAAATTACATTTCCATATCAATTTGCATCCACGTAAAGACTTTTAGAATGCCTGTTCACAGATTAAGGATATTATTAAGTTAAAATCCGTTAATGTATCACCATTATAAAGCCGGAAGGAAAAAAACAGAAATAAATCAAATTGGACTTGCGTTTTCAACATGTAAATGTGTACAGATTCCCAGCTATGAAGAAAGATTTTACACATCACATTAGGCCTTCCATTAGTTTCTCACAGTTGAAGCATCATGCAGTTCTGCTTCGCAGGCAGGGAAAAAGAAGTTCTTTTTTGCATGTAAAATACATCTGTGCCACAGGGAACACCACAATTATTTTGACTCAAAACACAGTGTCATAAATTCTGATCAGTTTGAGCATTGACTGCACCATGAAAAGCATTTTGAAAACTCACTCTCGGAGGTTCCCAGTGGTTTCTCCTACAATCGTAAAGCAGTAGAAAGGCAACAGTTCCTCAAAGTCGTATTTCAAATTCAAATGTTCAATTTATAAACTTTATCATTACCCTCAGTTCTTAAGAAAAACAGCAATGAATGTTTGAAATCCATAATAACATAACCCAGTTTTAGGAATACTAAAAGACCCAATGTCTTCCTGTGAAGTTATTAAGGCTAATTGAATTGCTGGCTATGGAAAAGTTATAGTCATTACAGAGGTATTACATTAACATCACTCACTTTTCTCAGCATCGTCACTAGAATTATTAGAACACAGAAACTTACCATCGCCTCATCTCAAGCATCAAATTAGCATCTTCTTTCAGATAACAACTCCCCTGTTATTAAACAGTTTCTCTTTTCCAAAAGATGGTTCAAACTCGTCAGAAAATAGCAGCATCTTTAAACACGAATCACCAAAATAACACCCTCAGGCACATTAAAAGCATTGACTGTTTTAAACATTAAATTAAATATTAATATTAAATATTAAATTAAAAAAACATTTAATGTTTTTAATATGGATCTATCCCCCCAATTATACTGAATATCCAGTCAATTATTTCTGGAGCTCTCACCCTCCACATCACACTGCTGAATTAGGCAGCGATGCTCAAAGCTACACGGTTATCTTAGGGAGGCTTTAATTATTCATTTACAAATGCAACAGTATCTCCTCTGTGCACAAATTAAGCAACCAGGGCTATGACCAAAAGAACCTGTTACGTTTAAGATCTGAGCATAAAACTGCTTGAAATGAAAAACATAACCATGTTTTTATTCATAACCCTTTGAGGGGGGGTTACAACTTGATTCAAGGTATTTTAGACTTAAGATCTTTTAAATAACGAGGCCTGTTGTTTTGGATTTACCCTGCTAAAGAATTATTGATTGTTCTTAGTTTTTACCCCCTTACATCTTGACACTACATGACCATAACCTGTGCTGTCCGACTCAGAAACGGTTTCATCCAAACGCCCTCCTCTGCTGCTTGTCACTTTGTAAGCTTTCCGGCTCGCACAAGAGAAGAAGCTGGTTTCAAGAAGCTGAACAGGTTGCTGAGCCAAAAAATGAGGTTCACGCCTGGGCTGCCTTTTCTCCATGCTCCAGTTATTTATCTCCTCACAGCACATATTTATGTCTCACAGACAACTCATGTCATAGTGGAAACGAACAAATCAACCCCTCTGATACCTCGGAGTCAGCTCGGAAGTGAAGCACTCAGGTCTGACTGATGGCTCACCAGGAATAAGCGCTGTATTTCGTATGCATCGGTTCAAGTGTATAACTGTTTATATAGGATGGTCTCTTCTCTCAGAGCAACTTAAAGGCTACCTTAGATTCAG